AAAAAAAAAAAAAAACTCTACAGTCTCTACCCTATAAAACCTGAAACAAAACTCACATGGTGATACATAAAATGATGTCCATAAACCTTAATAGTAAAAAAACTGAAGCTTGATTTAATGATTTCTTATCACCAAAAAGCAGACAAGGAATCTTAAATGGGTAAAAAGAGAGAAAACAATTTCAATTTGATAATTTTTGCGGTTCTTGCATATCTTACTTGTAATCATCCCAGCCCACCACCAAGGTTCCTTAAGATATGAGTAGCCTCCATTGCCTGATCAAAATATACTCATCTTCAGTACATGCCATGCTAGTCCAAAAGAATGAATACAGACATGTAACCATACAAGTTTGAAATAATTATATATAGATTATAGGACCACCATTTTTTATATATGTAATACATTTAGGGTGAAGTGCCAGAGAGACTTTCTTTCCTTCTTTTTTCATATATTTAAACAATTTAATCCGAAAGCACGTATTCAATGTAATTTGTCCATTGCAAATGGAGCTGGAAGAGTCATTTGTTGACAATTCTCCTGGCATAGTGCTAATAATGGACTAATCAAAATGGCTAAATTAAATTATAGTGCTTCTTCTATTAGTGAAGTTTCTAGGAAAAAAATATATCAAATGACGCAATGCGTCGCTACGGAAACAGCCTCGTATAATTACAAGGGTAAGGTCCGCGTACAACTGACCCCCCAGACCCCAACTGGGTATGTTGTTGTTGCACGTATTCAATGTAATATACTCTATAAAACAGTACTCTACAGCAATTCACTTCCAATACTTGAGAGAATAGAATAAACACTAAAGAAATGAAGGAATTTAACAAGGATGCAAAAAAAAAAAAACTAACTTGCTCGAGTTCCAGAAGCACCGGCCCTTTTGAGGCCTATTTTCTTTATTATGAAGCTAGAACCGATAAATATACTTGAAGAGATCGCCAAAGCAAACCCACGAATGTTATCCGATATTCCCCCCATTTCAGAGAGAAGAAAACAAATAAACCACCACACAACAATTCCAACAACAATAATGTGTTTGTTTCCTGCACAGAACAATTCGACCACAATTAATCATCACACGGGGAAAATGAAAGCAAATTGTAATCAAAATAAATAGAAAAACAAAAAAAAAAAGGAAGAACAATATCAACCCTGGTTTGCGTGGCGTTCCTTGGAATAAATAGGCTAAACGCCCAAAACAGCCATAGCAAAAGCAACACAAACCCTTTGTTCAGCTTTTCAGATTAAAACCAAAAAAAAAAAATGTCTGTAATTTAGGATATTGATCTTGACGATAATGATGATGACGACGACGATGCCTCTCAAACCCTCCTCCCTCTGGTTTTATTCTTTCTTGGGAGAAAATAAAAACAACGATTTATCATCGGCAAACATTGGGAAAATATATATCGAGAAAACTGATTATGGAGATTCAAATTAAATCAAAATAAAAGGACAAAAATCTTCTTCCCTGTATTGTTGTTCTTCTCACTCCCTTCTGTGCGAGAATGTGGAGAGATGGAGGAGATGAGAGGAGAGGGTAGGGAGAGAAGGAAGGAAGTTGAAATTTGCAGAGAGAAATTGGAATTGGGAGGTTAAGAGCATATATATGAAAATAAAGAGTGGAGCGGCCCTTCCTATTTACACCAAATCTCACTCCCAATTTATGGTGTCCTCCGAATCCCTCGTTCTCCAAATGTAACGTAATATTTTCTTGACAATATAAATATTGAAATATTATGGCAATGTGAATCCACTTTACATGAATATTACTACCATTACTATAATGGAAAATGTTACGGTCCCGTTATGGTACAATCTTGTCGGGTGTTTTGACCGTTGGATTCACGTATAGTTAGATAAGATAGATGATTCAACGGTTAAAACGCTCGACGAGATGGTACCGTAGCGGGAGCGTAGTATTTTTCATATATAATATAGGGTAAACTAATTATCCGCCAAAATTCAAAAACCCATTTCCTACTACACTTTATTTTCTTCCACTCTCTCCCTCAAAATTAACTCCAACTCCCACCTCCAACTATTAAAATAAATAATAATATCACCATTTTTATGCTCAAAAAAATGCTTTTATAGTTTACTTTTTCTTTTTGCACGAACTACTGCAATTTATCATAGGTTTAATGGCTGAAAAATAAACGACCTTTACTTGTGTTGATAGACGGATCCGATCAACGTTTAAAATATGATATCGTTCGGGCATAACCAATTGTTTAGCCAATGATAGATTAGCGTTCCATGAAGACAAATGGAGGTTCACCAGAAGAGTATCCTAAAGTAAGGAGTAGTCGCAGCAGTTCTGCTTCGGATTCATGCCCCATGTGCTAGGGGTATAACCATAAGGCTTCGGTCTCTTGAACAGTTCAAGGGTATTCCCCAAAAATCGATTTTTAACATACTCGTTGACAGAAGAGAGCCTGGTCAATTACACCAGGACTTCACTGAAAACGGGGAAGAAACACGATTTAATTGAATTTTATTATATAATTTCGAGGTCGACACTTCTCTTGTATTTTGAGAATAATTACAGGGAATTATCACAGGATTCTAAAGATAAAAAGTAGTAGTTGAGATATTCAACAACCCAAAATAAATGAAATGAGCTCATATTAATAGTATCTTTAAATGTGGCACTGTTCTAGCTCTATTCACTGGTCTTGTCGCACAGTACTCTTGCAAGTTAGTCCGGCGCCGCTCTGACAGGTATTTAATGCGATTTGAGGTTTTTCTAGTCATTACCTGTCAGGCATTTAATGCTCACATGGGGGGCATTTAATATCTGGCAGGCTTTTGTCGGGCTAGATGTTGTAGGATGGTAGGCTATGACGGCCCGTCCAATCGCCAATGATCACCCACCAAGTGGCAGTATTATATTATTATCAAGCCCCGCGTTCGTCCTCGAGGTGGCCGTACTAAACTTCCAAGTCGGCTCCTGAGCACTTTATCTTCCATAGGCTTTCAGGATCCTTTCTTAAGCTCGACATCTGATAATGTCGGCATCGCCTTTGAATGGGTCGGGTGCCGACCTCAGGAGAGGCGTCACTCGGTGACGGTGATTATTTTAGTTTCGAATTCAGCTCGGCACTTGCACACTTGACCGGGGTCCCGGTCCGGCTTTTGGAGGTGTCCATCTGATCTCCTTTCAGCTAACTCGGATATCAAAAACTTGATTGGCCCACTTAATCACTGACCTTTAAACCTTGACAAATAAATAAATGACATTTACATTATTGACAACTCAATACACGCTTTTAACAGCCGTTAACGAAAATCTGACGTGGCAAATAAAATTGACGGGCACACCACACGTGTATCCGAGTCAGTCACCAGGTCGCAATTGGTGCACACGTGGGTTGCAAAAATATTGGGAGATTCGAACTTGGTATCACTAGACATAGTTTTTAAACCCAACCTAAAAATACCCCGAGCAGGTCTCCGGGTCACCGGTTCAACCGCAGAGTCATCGGGTCAATTGCTGAACCGGGTAATTAATTTTAAAAATTTGTAAATTATATATATAGTATTTTTGACATATAAATATACATAAAAGTAACAAAAATAGATGTTTTGCATATAAAATTTGTACATCAAAGTGTTAAAAGAATTCTATCTCACAATAAATATTTACGATATCAATATACTTACATAGTTCTTATATTTTTATATAAAAAATATTAAAAAATTTAAAAAAATATATATATATATATGGACCGGGTCAACTGGGTTGACCTGGCCGGGTCAAGGCCGGGTTGGTGCACGATTTGTCATCTAGTCGGTGACTCGGATATATGTGTGGTGTGCCATTCAATTTTATTTGCCACGTCAGATTTTCGTTAACGGCTGTTAAAAGCGTGTATTGAGTTGCCAAGAATGTAAAGGTTATGTATTTATTTGCCAAGGTTTAAAGGTCGTGATTAAATGATCAATCAGGTAAATGTCGTGTATTTTCTCGCCATTAAGACTTTAAAATATTGTAAGAATATGGAAAAAAATATATGTTGTATTCAATCACAAAGGTATGTACATGTATATATAGACAAAATATGGGCCTCACTTATGTTGGGCATTAATTTAATCTAACCCTACAATACAAAATATAACTAATATATCACTAACAACCCCCCTCAAACTCAAGGTGGTATAGTGAAGATCAACTTGAGATTGCTACGAAGTAAACAAAAGCGACCTGGAAGGAGAGACTTCGTGAAGACATCCGCTAGTTGATTCGTAGAGGAGACGGACACAAGCTTCACAGTCCATTTGCAACATGTTGTCGAATAAAGTGACAGTCAATCTCATTATGCTTGGTGCGCTCATGAAAGGTATCATTATAAGACATCTTTATAGCACTCTGACTAACATAATGTAGAGCAGTAGACGATGACTGGCTTTGCGATCCCATTTCGGACTACAACCAGGTCCTTTCTTCCAGTCTTTAGGAGGCTGAGGTGCACCGAGATCAGCAAGTAGCCGACGTAACCATAATAACTCGGAGGTGGAATCAGCAAGAGCACGATACCCAGACTCAACACTCGATTTGGAAAGTAAGGTTTGCTTCTTACTATGCCAAGACATGAGTGAATCACCCAGAAAGAAGCAATACCCAGTAACAGAACGACGATCAGTAGGATCTCCAGCCCAATCTGCATCAGAATAGCCGCTAAGTGTCAAGGAAGAACGGGCCGAGAAGTGTAAACCATACAATAAAGTGCCTTTCACATAATGAAGAATGTGAAACACAATAGAATGATGTCTGGTTCTCGGAGCAGCCATAAACTGACTCACAATATGAACAACATGAGCTATATCAAGCCGAATGATAGTAAAATATATCAAACTTCCAACAAGCTGACGATATAACATAGGATCCTCAAGAAGAGAGCCATCTAGTGAAGTAAGACGAACATCATAATCAAGAGGTGTGGAATTTGTCTGACAATCAGTGAGACCGGTCCGAGCAAAAAGATCAGAGGCATACTTGGCTTGAGACAAAAAGCCATCAGAGGAATCAGAAATCTCAAGACCCAAAAGATAACGAAGCTAACCCAAACTCTTCATCTCAAAACGCTGACAAAGATAGTCATGTAAATTGGAAATGCCGGTAACATCATCTCCTGTAATGATCATATCGTCAATATAGAGCAGCAAAATAATTATCCTAGAGAAGGAGTGTCGAAGAAACAAAGCGGAATCGTGATCACTAGTAGTGAAACCAAACTGAAACAATGCAGAACTGAACGTGGCATACCAGGCACGAGGCGCTTGTTTCAAACCATACAAAGCTCGACGTAGACGACAAACCTTCCCATAGGACAAGGAACTCGGGGAGGAGTCATGTAAATCTCCTCAGATAGGGCACTGTGCAAGAAGTCATTCTTGACATCTAACTGTAGAAGAGACCATCGACGAACAGCAGCAACAACAAGTAAACACCGAACAGTAGTAAGACGAGCAACTGGTGCAAAAGTCTCTTCATAATCGATGTCGTACTTCTGTGGGTACCCCTTAGCAACCAGACAAGCTTTGTAGCGCTCAATAGATCTATCTGAATTAGTCTTGATCTTATAAACCCATTTGCATCCGATGGGTGTCTCTCCAGCAGGTAGATCCACCAAATTCCAAGTATGAGTCTTCTCCAGTGCCTGCAATTCCTCAGCCATAGCTTGTTGCCATAATGGATCAGCACTCAACTCACGAAATGATCTAGGCTCATGATAAGATAGTATGCAATGATAGTTAAGTAAGTGAGAAGGGGAATGACTTACACGGGTTGATCGTCGGTGATCAATGGTGGGCGAAGGGACAGAATCAGAAGAGGACTCAACAGGAACTGTCGGTTCAGGATGAGCAGGTGGAGCCACTTCAGAAGACGGAGGCATGACAGGTGTGTCAATGAGATGTGAGTCAGGAGAAGTATCTGGAAAGAGATCCAAAGTAATGGACATGAAGAAAGGGGA